CATAACATGAACCCAGCCACACTGATACTGACCAGCTAAAAGTTAGTCGCCATGCCCAGCTACTTCTTAATAACCTTGGCTGCCACAGCGGAGTAGTAGGGGGCCCCAGCCAACCCAGGTGGTAAGCAACCAAACTGGGTGGAGTGTTGGCCTAACTTTGAGGGGGTCAAAAGACAAGCAATCCACAACCTGAACACCACATTTCCTGGGTCATCAAGGAGGAGAGAAACATATTGGTTTATCATGCCCAGAGGGGAATCAGGTGCACCACAGCTGTCATACACCAAACCGTTTTCACATGTCATCTAACAAAACGTCATTTGAACTCTATTTTTAGCCTCATTGTAGCCTGTATCTCTAACTGCCTCTCTGTGCACTGCGTTCACATGTGCACACTTGCACGAGACAATGAGACATGGGCACCGCGTTCATGTGTGTTCACGTGCTTTCACTGGTCTTGCGCGCACACGTGAACACGGTGCACAGAGAGGCAGTTAGAGCTGCAGGCTACAATGACGCTAAAAACAGAGTTCAAATGATGTTTTTCCAAACAACTTTTTATATCTGGGCTTCAGGACACTTGGATCACCACGGACGAGTAGTATGGAGATATTTTGTGGTTTCAATTATGTGTTTTTGGACGTTTGAATCTGGGGCGCCATAAGCCTCCATTAGGTGAAGTTGTGTTGCTACCTCCTCTCCCCTTGGATCTCCGCAAGTGTTGTGAGGATCGGCATATGGGTGAGTAGATAATGGCTGAATTTTCATTTTTGGGTGCACTATCCCTTTAAGTGTGCCTTTGGAAATTTGGAAATTTGCTTAGACATCCTCAGCTGGGATTTTCATGGTTTTGGTCAGTATAAATTAAGATTCTGGTAAAACATTTAGCATGTTCTTCTCAAAATGTGAATGTGTGTACGTGTGGATGTAAATGTTGTTGGAAAGCATTGGTCAGCTGTAGAACTTTTGATGGTTAAGTGCAGACCCTATTATCTGCGAAGGGAATTCAGCGCAATGTTTATGCTGGTTGTGTACATTCCTCCACGGGCAGATCACGCAACCACACTGGGGCTAATACTGGATGTCATCAGCAAGCAAGAGACTACACACCCAGATGCAGTGTTCATTGTAGACAGGGACTTCAACCACTGCAAACGTAGGAATGTCCTTCCCAAGTAACATCAGCACGTCAGCTTTCCAATGAGGGAGAGCAACATCCTTGACCAGGTCTACAGCAAAATGAGAAATGCCTATAAGGCTGTGCCCCGGCCACATTTTTTACAGCAGTGTTTCCGCAACATTCATCTAGCCTGCCGCTGCTGCTGCTCTTTCAAAGCATTTATTTTGCAAATGCACCACCACCGCTCTGAGACATCTGTGCACTTGCACAGCGCAGCAGCCAGTGTAGTGAGGAGAACAGCAGTGAGGGGAGGGCGGAGTGGGGGAAGGCTCCTATTTAGGGATGCACCGAATATATTTGACCGAATATTGCAAAAAACCATACATTCGGTATTCGGTGGAATAAGTGAAAAGCAAGGCCGAATAATAGCAGCGTGTTTTGATAACGCAATCAAACAGCGTGTGGTGACGGATGGAGTAAAATGTCGGCAGTGTGGCGATATTTTACTCCGTCCGTCAACGCACTCGCATTTGCGACTAAAAATAGTTTTGTGCGGGCAAAATAAATCATTCAGCATGCTGTGTGAGTACAGATTTCAACCAGCAGCAGAAACGAAAAAGCAAATCCCGCCAGTTGTGGGTTGAACGGGGGTCACAGACACGGAAAGGAATACGTATTCCTGTCAAATACGGCGGAGCATAATAAAGGCTTACAGGCAAAGGAGAAGTCCGGCTCCAGGTGAATAACTTGTTGTCATGACTGCCCAAAAGTACCTGAACAGCCAAGCCATGGCGGCACGCAGTATGTGGTGTATCAGAGGAGAAACGAGCCGTTCACATTTCTCTCTTTGTGTCCACAAACCTCACCGCACTTTAGGGACTGTTCTTTACTTATGAAGGGACTTGTGGGTGGCTGGTTGATTTTTATTTCATTTATTTATTTTATTTTGATCCCCCCAGAGATGGGGACTCGAGTCATTGTGACTTGGACTCGAGTCGACTCAAGTCGCTGTTTTGATGACGTGTGACTTGACTTGACAAAAAATAAAAGACTTGAGACTTGACTCGGACATGGAAGTTAAAGACTCCGGACTTGACTTGACTTGAGACACGATGACTTGAATGACTTAAGTGTTATTCACATCATGTTTTCGGTTAGTATATAAAATTAATAAATTAATTAAAAAAATACTGTTGATTACCCTGTAGAAGCGCAGGCTGACAATGGCATTGTCATGATTGGATCACTACCCTGTCAATCAGTCATGCCCTCTCTACATACCTTACGTGTTTATTGGAGAAACAGGCCCTCTTATATCAGATAGGCATCAACATGTCAGTGGGAGGGGTACCGAGAGTCATTGTTTTCGGCTTTCGGAATTACCATTACTACGGCAAAAGACTGGTCCCATCTCTGGATCCCCCCTAAGTTAAAGTGATAGTTCAGGTTTTTGGACATGAAGTTGTGTGAAACGCTGACCATCTGTAGCTCTGATGTGATGGTGTCACTACTCTCAACGAGCCTCGTGCTCTGAGAAATCGCCCGTAGCTTACCGGAGAAAAAGTAGTTCTGAAGATGTACGGGGGACACGTAACCAAAAGGTTTTAAGCTACAAAAAAAGTATGCATGTGTTTTGTTAGACTATTTCAATCATTTTAAAACATCCCCGCATTACGTCAGACCTTGCTATCAATTGGGACTATTTTCTGGTCAGTATCACTCCGCCGTGCAGGCCCGCAAGACAGCATGGCAACAGAAATCAATAAGACAGTTCATCACCACGCTGTGCAGGTGCGCAGGATAGCAACGGCTAACGAAAACTTCATCGGCTGTTTCCAACAGAGAACCAGTAGGCTATTATTAGTGAGGAAAAAGATGTACTAGCCCAATATATACCTACTACTACAGCGCGAACACCGGCTCAGGCTCACGACACACCCTCATCAACTGCTGTAGGTAAAAAAATCGTAGAGGAAACACTGTACAGTCAGACAACATCTCAGTGTTCCTCTATCCAGCCTACAGACAACTCCTAAACCGATGTCAGATATGACCTGTGCAGATCAATCAGGCAGGCCAACAGACAGTACAGACTGAGACCATCAACACCAACCAACAGAGAGAGATTCTGGCCCCAGGGGTCACACAGGACACACCACTCTCTGTGTCTACAGAGGAGGTGCACACAGCTCTAAGGAGAACAAATCAACAGAAGGCAGCTGGTCCAGACAGCTGCTCATCGGAGCTGTGTGTGTTCACTGAAATTTTCAATCTGTCCCTCACTCAGGCCTCTGTGCCCGCCTGCTTTAAGTCCACCACTGTTGTGCCCCTCCAAAAGAAAAATACTGTGACCTGCCTGAACGACTATCATCCTGTTGCACTCACTCCAAATGTGATAAAGTGTTTTGAAAGGATTGTCATGACTCACATCACAAAGGCCATCACAGCCAACTTGGACCCACTGCAGTCTGCATATTGTCAGAACAAGTCCACTCATGATGCAGTCAACACCAGCACCCACACTCAGAGTGCAAGGACGCATATGTGAGAATGCTATTTATTGAATACAGCAACACATTCATACCACACAGACTCTCTGAAAAGCTCCTCACCCTCGGACTGATACCCTCCCTCTGTGCCTGGGTGCTGAATTTCCTATCAGACAGACCCTAGTCAGTCAGAGTTGGAAACCGAATATCAGGCATAATAACTGTAAGCACAGGAACCCCCCAGGGCTGTGCTGAGCCCCCTGCTATACACACTCTTTACTTATGATTGTGTGGCCTCCCAGACTAATACCAGCATTATAAAATTCGCGGATGACACTACCGTCATTGGGTTGATCACTGGTGGGGTAGCGACATCATACAGAAGACAGGTGGCAGAACTGGTGGCCTGGTGTCAGGAAAATAATCTCTCCCTAAATACAGAGAAGATCAAGGAGATGATTATTGATCCTAGGAGAAGTAGAGGGGAGCATGCTATTACACATCTGTGAGACAGAGGTAGAGAGGGTGAAAACCTTTAAATTTCTTGGCACCCACATCAGCAAGGATCTCACCTGGTCACACAACACACAACAGATCATTAAGAAATCCCAGCAGCGACTGTACTTCTTAAAAAATTCTGAGTAAATGTGGCATGCAAATCAATATCCTCAGTAACTTTTACAGATTTACAGTCAAGAGTGTCACAAGCTCAATCACAGTCTGGTATGGAAACTGTACTGCTCAGGACAGGAAGGCCCTCCAGCATGTGATAAAAATGACACAACTCATTTCACAAGCAGCCTTTCCTTCCATTCAGGACAGCAGGGTCATCAGGAGGGCCCACAACATTATAAAGGACTGTACACAGCCCAACCACAGTCTTTTCACACTTTTGCCATCAGGCAGACGCTACAGAAGTGTGAAATCTAGGAAAACAAGACTGACCAACAGCTTCTACCCACAGGCCATCAGACTGCTGAATAACAGCATGAAACACAGCCCCCCTTCCCTCATCACATCACACTCACTGACTACCTGAACTTGAACTGACTTGTTGCAACATTGCATGGTGCACTTTATATTTAACATATTTTTTTTTAAACTGATTTCTTTATTTCTGCTAATTGCATTTTTTTTAATCTAACTTTAATTCTAATTTTTATTAGAATTATTATTATTGTTTGTTGTTGAATCTTTTGAACTGAAACTCTAATCTAATCTAACTTTAATTTGTTGCTTCTTTCAAACACCTTGTCATGACGGGCACACAAACTGTGTATAGTATGTTGTACAGTATATATGCATAAGACTCACTGAACAACAAAACAGACTCACTGAACAACAAAACATTAAAAAAACATTGTAAAACTAGGTATAAAACAATGACTTACCGGATCAAACACCAGCATTCTACAGAGGAGATGGACAGCTTCATGGGTTGCTTGGTTAGACAGTGTGTAAAGAACAGGAAGGGATGGCTGCAGACCAAAAAAAAAAAAATCACAAAATTAACCATCCTCCCCATTTCCCCCCATTTACTGCAGTTTTTTAAAATGAGCCATGAAACATAGCTATGTGGCAGCAGAATGTGAGGAAGAAGACTGCAATCCAATTTAAACATGGATGCATGGTTTCTAAATCTTAAATAATCAGCTTTTCAATTGTAAATGAGAAACAAAATACACTGCTAACTGTAACATATCTGTGAGTTTTGATGAGAGACATCAGTGTCCACAGCTGTTTGATGCCACCTGTGCACCAGGTACAGGTACAGGTAGACGCTGCTCTTGCTTGTGGAGGCATGGCTACTGCAGGGGGATATGACTTGATGTTGCCACAGGGGACGCTGTTGCAGGAGTCAGGGGGGCTGTTGTTATTGCAGGGGGCAGGGCCTGTACAGACACTGGGGGTGGGTTCTGATGTTGCCATGGGGGCATGGTCAAAGCAGGGAGTGGGTGTGCTGTTGCTGGAGGCGGGGCCTAATTTTGTGAAAGAAGTGTGGCTGCAGCAGGAACGTGGGCCTCAACTATCTGCTTTTGTGGTCATGGCAAAGACTGTCAGTGGAAGCAGGGCCTGCTGCCACTGCATGTGGCTGGAACTGGGGGTTGAGGCTCAAGCCACACAGGCCACTATGCAGGTGGGGGAATATTGGCAGCTTCTTAAAGAGCTTTCCCGGCAAAACTATATTTTAGAGGTTATTACAATGTGTTACTGCAAGGTGCCCCAACTTGAAAAGAAGTCAGTCTATATTGTAGCAGAGATGGGGACTCGAGTCATTGTGACTTGGACTTGAGTTGACTCGAGTCGCTGTTTTGATGACATGTGACTTGACTTGACAAAAAATAAAAGACTTGAGACTTGACTCGGACTTGGAAATTAAAGACTCCTGACTTGGCTTGACTTGAGACACGATGACTTGAATGACTTAAGTGTTATTCACATCATGTTTTTGGTTAGAATATAAAAATAATAAATTAATTAAAAAAATACTGTCGATTACCCGGTAGGAGCACAGGCTGACAATGGCGTTGTCATATTGGATCACTACCCTGTCAATCAGTCATGCCCTCTCTACATACCTTACGTGTTTATTGGAGAAACAGGCCCTCTTATATCAGATAGGCCTCAGCATGTCAGCGGGAGGGGTACTGAGAGTCATCGTCGTCGGCTTTCGGAATTACCATTATTACGGCAAAAGACGAACAGCACAGTGCAAGACATGCGGCATAAACATCTCGGACAGCCAGGCGACAACTTCAAACTTTGTTCGTCATTTGAAAAGCCATTCTGCCCAGTAAGTGCTTGTCAATTAGCTAATATTATCTGGTTAGTTGGTAGTTAGCTAACGTTAGCTTGATACGATACGGGGGTGAGGTGGGGGGGTGTGTCGGTTTGGTGGAACTTGTTTTTTAATTTATTTGCAAACATTAACCCCAGAAAACGTGAGCGAACATTCCGACCGGTTCATCACAAGACCGGCTGTACGTTTCATGAACGAGCAACACAGGGTTAAACGAGCTAAATGGGTGATTTTGGCTGCTGCCTTGGTTAGTGTGTGTGTGTGTGTGTGTGTGTGTGCGCGCACACGCATGGGGGTCGTCCCTGCAAAGTAAACATTGCAGCGATGAAGTCAATGTTTACTGACTGTTACTTATATCTTGTCTTTTCACTTTATTAAGATCAGATTCTGCAGGTAAAATTACAATAATAAGGTGACTTGACTTGGACTTGACTTGACCTATTACAGGACTTGACTTGACTTGACTTGACTTGAATTGACATAACCTGTGACTTGACTTGACTTGACTTGACTTGCCCAAGAAAAAATGACTTGGGACTTACTTGAGACTTGAAGGTTAAGACTTGAGACTTACTTGAGACTTGCACATGTGTGACTTGGTCCCATCTCTGTATTGTAGTATCAGCAGCTGGCTGCTGTATGTCAGTGGAAATGGCAAGCAGTTCAAATGCTATTAGCAAAACAAAAACTCCAGTAACCTTTCATATTTCTGAAAAGATGAAAGGTTACTGGAGTTTTTGTTTTGCTGGAAAGACAGGTAGGGGAGCTCCACACAAAAAAGAGATTGCTTAAGCTAAGTTTACACTATGTATAAGTATGTCATGTGATGTGCAGGTAGACGAAGCAGTGGTCTGAGTAAGTTATTAGGTTAACAACTTACAGACACAGTGCATCCAAAAGTTCTCTTCCTCTTGCTCTCTCACACTCTCCCTCGTGCTCTCTCACTCTCTTGCTCTCTTGCTCTCAAACACACAAATATCTTGGAACGTGCTGCAGCGCCTCGTCTCTGTCCTTGTCTTGGGCCCTCATTGGCTGTAGCTTGCCAACAAGTCCATGACAGGTCCAGGGGTCTTATTTATAACCACTGCATATGCACAAAATGAGGCCTGAAAGAGGCATGTGCCACTTCCCACACAAAAGTTGTGATCTTTGAAAACAAACTTGTTGGAATAATATGTGCACCTGTTCTGAAACTCTTTCTGAAGCCCATTCATACAAACATTTTGGAGACAGGGGAAATTAGTGACACAGATGGTGAGATGGGGAATTGAAGCTTTACTTATGGATCCACTTTGTCATATACATTCAGTCCAACAGTGTTAAACTGTACTTGTGCGAGTGCACAGAACATAAAGCCAGCTCAGACTGAGTATGAATGTGTGAATGTATGAGGGCAGAGTATGAGGCACATCTACATTCAGACAATGCCAAGTTGATTTTGGAGGGAAACTGTACACTGGCAGCAGCAGTTTTATAAATGAGAATATTTTTTGCTGCATGCCATTTTCAGCACTTGTTCACACACTTTAGTATGGATCCTGCGCACTGTTTTATGGATGACACCCCTGGAATTTAGCATGCTAGATATATGGGAAGCATCTATAATGCATCAGTGAGCCTCTGGGCTTGCATCTTGTAACAGTTCATACATAATGCTTGAGCGCCGATTTGTGAGTGCTGAGCCAACACTGATATGCCTCTGATCTGAGGCTTTGGCTGAGAGCTCCGTAACTGGTCTGGGAGTAGAAAATCAGGGCTTAAGTTCCGTTGTGTAAACTGTGTATTACCTGTTTATGTGGTCCTCTGAGAATGTGTGCACGAGCACCTTCACATGCTGTCCTCATGGCTTCCATAGAGGGAGTCCCCAGCAGGTCAGTGATTAAATCCAGCTACAAGCAGCAAGACAGAAGACATGGGAGAGACGGAGAGCAAGGCTTGTTTCTGTATGTCAGGACACAATCTACAATATCCTCTTTAGAGCAGACGGTTCCGGAGAACTGTGTCAGCGCAGTGGAGGACAGGGGTGACCACGCAGACCGGCTCCTCCACTATCTCATGCAAAGAGACCATCAGATGGAAGAAAAGTGTGAGAACCTGGAAAATTTCATGAGAAGAAACAACCTGCATGGGTATGACATACCAGAGGGATCTGAGACAGTAGATACAGTTAAGTGGATGGAAGGCTTTCTCAAAGACATTCTGGATTTACCGCGCGTTGTTCCATTATGTCTACAGCGCGTGCACCGCTCACTGTAACAGAGACCGGAGGATCCCAACGCACCGCCAAGATTATTCGTGGGTCTCAAACTCAACTTACCTGAGGGCCGCTTGGCATCCAGTCTTGTCACAAGGGGGCCACTTCAAGTATTCCACAAAAAGTTGAAATAAAAAAAAACAAACGTTCAACTGTTCGAACAACTGTACTTCTCAACATGAACTATTTTACAGTCAATTTTGGCTTCTCTTGCCTAATGCTTGCTGCCAGACACCTGAGAGCGCTTCTTCTCAGACAGCCTGGCCACATTTGCTCTGAGGGAGGTGGCAGTTGAAACCCTCAATATGGCTTGAAGATAAGCATCACTGAGTCTGGACCTAGTCTTTGATTTTAGAAAAGTTCATGGTGGAGAATAGTTTTTCACAGAGATATGTGCTTCCAAAAAGGCACATGGTCCTCTTGAACATCCTGGAAAGCTCTGGGAAGGATGGGGGTAGTTCTCTCAGAAATTGACAGCACATCCCCATATGATGCGTTAATTTCCTCCAAAAAGGCACGGAACTGGCGGTGCTGGAAGCCCCTGGATCTGAGGAAATTGATGCATTTCACAACGTCAGACATCACGTTGTCAAACTTCAAACACCTGCTGAACAGTGCCTGCTGATGGATAATGCAGTGCAGAGCAATTGCAGAATCTGCACCTTCCTCCTCCAGTTTTTTTTGAACAAGTGCTATGAGTCTGTTTTTCCTCCCTATCATAGATGGTGCGCTGTCTGTCGTTATTCCTACCAGCGACTTCCAGGAGAGGGCAGCCTTCTCAAGTGAGTCACACAGCACCTGAAATACATCCTTAGCTGTGGTGCGGCCTTGCATCGGGGTCACACTCAGTAACTCTTCTGTTATTTGGAACTGGTCATTAATACCGCAGACATAAATGGCAAGCTGAGCCATGTCATTAATGTCTGTGCTTTCATCTAGTGTCACAGAGAATGCACGGAAACTTTTGCATTTGTCACATAACTCTTCATAAATGTCACTTGATAGCTCAGTAATGCGCTCTGCCACTGTGTTAGCTGTCAGACTGATGTTGCTGAACTGACTTGTTTTTCTTGACAGACAATATCTGCAACTTGCACCATGCAGTCTTTCAGAAACAGACCTTCAGTAAATGGCTTTCCCGATTTGGTGATCATCTCAATGACAATTTAACTTGCTTCAAGTCCTGCCTCCTTTCTTGCTCTCTGGAAGAAGTTTTGTTGCATTGACAGTCCTTTCTTTAGCTGTGCAGCTCATTGTGTCCATTGATCTCCCTGGTACTTAGCATACTGCTGTGCATGTTTAGTTGAATAATGCTGCTTTAGATTGTACTCTTTAAACACAGCAATTTTCTCATTGCAGATGAGACAGATTCCATTCCCCTTAAACTTGACGAAGAAATAATCAGTCTCCCACTTCTCCTGAAACACTCTGTGCTCAGCGTCAATCTTTCTTTTGGCCATTGTAAGCTACAATGTTTGATAGTGTTAGCAGTGTGCCAAATGTTTATTGTGTGTGGTGATGCATCAAGGGTCGGGGGATGATGCGCTGAAGAGTCAAAAACAGAACTGTTTCAATCATTTTTCCTCAGTCGCGACAAGGCTGCGTTCGGATTTCACTATAAATTGATATCAAATAGCGGGCTGTATAGTAGGGATGCACCGAAATGAAAATTTGTGGCCGAAGCCAAAGCTGAATATTATTAAACGCTTGGCCGAATACCAAGTACCGAATATCATTGTTTAGTTTTTCATTAGTTTTTGCAGATGAACCCCCTCCAGATTAGTGTTGTCACGGTACCAAAATTGGGACCCACTGTGCGATACCAATGAAAATATCATGGTTCTGAGTAGTATCACGATACCACAGCAAAAATGAGGCAGATGTGCCTTTTGTCATTTATGAAAAGATAAATCACTTTTCTATAATACATCAATGATATTTCAATGGAATAAATTACTTATTGACTTATTCATACTTCAAAAACAGCATCAATAAGTGATTAACATAGGGGGGATCAAAATAAAATAAATAAGTAAAATAAAAATCAACCAGCCACCCTCCTCCCCTGACAGTCCCTTCATAAGTAATGAACAGTCCCTAAAGTGCGGTGAGGTTTGTGGGCCGTTACCTGCCACAAAGACAGAAATGTGAAAGGCTCGTTTCTCCTCTGACACATCACATACCTGTGTTCGGCTGGCACGGCTGTTCAGGTACTTCTGGGCAGTCATGACACCAAGAAGAGGATATTATTGGAGTCGACTTCTCCGTCGCTGGGTAAGCCGATGGCCGCCGTATTTGACAGGAATACATTAACGTTAGTGTCTGTGTCTGTGACCCCCGTTCAACCCACAACCAATGGGATTCGCCTTTTGTTTCTGCTGCTGGTTGAAATCTGTAGGCTGCTCGCACAGAGTGCTGAATGATTTAAGCCTACTTTGCTCGCTCAAAACTATTTTTAGTCACAAATGCAAGTGCTGTGCCGATCGCCACACTGCCGACATTTTATTCCGCCCGTCACGGCACGCCGTTTCATTGCGTTATCAAAACACGCCGCTATTATTCGGCCTTGCTTTTAACTTATTCCACCAAATACCTAATGTGTGGTTTTTTTTGCAATATTCGGCCGAATATATTCGGTTAACGAATATTCGGTGCATCCCTACTATATAGAATGGTCTGGAGGGCCATGTCTGGCCCACGGGCCGTGAGTTTGAGACCCCTGTCTTAGAGGGAGGATACTCAGTTACCTGCTGAATGGGACTTTGGGCCTGGAAGAGGATGCGTCGCCCCAGCAGCTCTGCGAAGATGCAGCCCACAGACCAGATATCAATGGAGTTGGAGTAGTGGCGGCTCCCCATGAGGATCTCAGGAGCTCGGTAGTACTGTGTCACCACTTCCTGAGTCATGTGTCGTGACTCGTCTGACTCCTCCACTCGGGCCAGACCAAAATCACAGATCTGAAAGACAGTCATTCAGCTATTACTACAACTGTTGTGGTCTTATCTTGAAAAAACAAAATCCAAGGCAACTCTTCTCTGGTGCAAAAGTTAAAAGGCATTTATTAAATGGCTAGTGTTGTGGTCTTATGTTCTCTTTTTTCCCTTGCAGCTTTATTCTGATAGCTGTGAGGTTATGCTTCATAAGCACGCTAGTCTCCCCTGCTCAAATGCAAAAAACCACTGTGTGTGTTGCTCATAGGGCACAACAAGTGTTGCATCATGTAGCACAGTTTGACTGTGTTTCCCACACAAACTATATTTGGGCTGTCCACCCATGCTTTCAAACGGCTGCCTCCATTTATTTTGTACAATTGAAAAAATAAAGGTAGTCTGACTTTATCCCCTCTGAGACTTTGCTCCAAATCCCCAGATCTGTCCTGAAGAACAGCACACATACAGTGCATATAAAAACGTCTTTCTTTGTAAAACCTTTAATGTTTAGAAGTTGTTGACACTATGTCAAGATGTATTGAAGACTCTGTGATTACAGGTGTTTTCAAAGTACAAAACCCAAAACCAGTGAAGTTGGCACGTTGTGTAAACCGTAAATAAAAACAGAATACAATGATTTGCAAATCCTTTTCAACCTATATTCAATTGAATACACTGCAAAGACAAGTTACTTAATGTTCGAACAGGTAAACTTTGTAATTTTTTGCAAATATTAGCTCATTTGGAATTTGATGCCTGCAACATGTTTCAAAAAAGCTGGCACAAGTGGCAAAAAAGACTGAGAAAGTTGAGGAATGCTCATCAAACACTTATTTGGAACATCCCACAGGTGAACGGGCTAATTGGGAACAGGTGGGTGCCATGATTGGGTATAAAAGCAGCTTCCCTGAAATGCTCAGTCATTCACAAACAAGGATGGGGCGAGGGTCACCACTTAGTGAACAAATGCGTGAGCTGATTGTCGAACAGTTTAAGAACAACATTCCTCAACGAGCTATTGCAAGAAATTTAGGGATTTCATCATCTACGGTCCGTAATATCGTCAAAAGGTTCAGAGAATCTGGAGAAATCTGGAGAGTGACAAGGCCGAAAACCAACACTGAATGCCCGTGACCTTCGATCCCTCAGGCGGTACTGCATCAAAAACCGACATCAGTGTGTAAAGGACATCACCACATGGGCTCAGGAACACTTCAGAAAACCACTGTCAGTAACTACAGTTCGTCGCTACATCTGCAAGTGCAAGTTAAAACTCTACAATGCAAAGCGAAAGCCATTCATCAACAGCACCCAGAAACGCCGCCAGCTTCGCTGGGCCCGAGCTCATCTAAGATGGACTGATGCAAAGTGGAAAAGTGTTCTGTGGTCTGACGAGTCCACATTTCAAATTGTTTTTGGAAACTGTGGACGTCGTGTCCTCCGGACCAAAGAGGAAAAGAACCATCCGGACTGTTATAGGCGCAAAGTTCAAAAGCCAGCATCTGTGATGGTATGGGGGTGTATTAGTGCCCAAGGCATGGGCAACTTACACATATGTGAAGGCACCATTAATGCTGAAAGGTACATACAGGTTTTGGAGCAACATATGTTGCCATCCAAGCAACGTCTTTTTCATGGACGCCCCTGCTTATTTCAGCAAGACAATGCCAAGCCACATTCTGCACGTGTTACAACAGCATGGCTCCATAGTAAAAGAGTGCGGGTACTAGACTGGTCTGCCTGTAGTCCAGACCTGTCTCCCATTGAAAATGTGTGGCGCATTATGAAGCGTAAAATACGACAACGGAGACCCCGGACTGTTGAACAACTTAAGCTGTACATCAAGCAAGAATGGAAAAGAGTTCCACCTGAAAAGCTTCAAAAATTGGTCTCCTCAGTTCCCAAACGTTTACTGAGTGTCGTTAAAAGGAAAGGCGATGTAACACAGTGGTAAAAAGGCCCCTGTGCCAACTTTTTTGCAATGTGTTGCTGCCTTTAAATTCTAAGTTAATGATTATTTGCAAAAAAAAAATAAAGTTTCTCAGTTTGAACATTAAACATCTTGTCTTTGCAGTGTATTCAATTGAATATAAGTTGAAAAGGATTTGCAAATCATTGTATTCTGTTTTTATCTACGATTTACATAACGTGCCAACTTCACTGGTTTTGGGTTTTGTACATCAGAAAGAAAAAGACAAAAAAAAAAAAACAAAGTGAAAAACATTAAAGATAGGTAGCGTAGTGGATAGTGCTGGCGCCCCATGTACAGAGGCATTGCCTCGCTGCAGCTGTCGCGGGTTTGAGTTCCGGCCTGCGACCCTTTGCTGCATGTCAGTCCCCACTCTCTCTCTCTCTGTGTCCCCATTTCACACACTGTCCTATCCATTAAAGGTAAAAGCCCACAAAAAAAACAAAAAACATTAAAGATAACCAACTGACAGCAATGTTACATCCACAGCCTGTGTTAATGTTACTGGCTGAAGCATAACATATATAAAATGGAAGATGCTGCTTATTAACAGTAGTGTCATGACAGGTGAAGCAGCTATATCAGCTTCGGGGGAAGAGATATTTAGGCTGCTGGAGGATGCTGTTTGACAAGTCAGGAGCTACAATGGGATTCTAGAGATACATGCAGGTCAGTCAGTACAACTGCACTGAAACTGTAATGACTTCATTTGTTGATTCATCATCATTACTTTGTTGTTCAGTGTTTGTTCACAGAAGAAAAAGGCAGATAATAATTATTTTGTGTCACTGCTTCGATTGATGAAATCAAAACTGATTGAAGTCTTTTACAAGGCAGTGGTTTTATAGTGCTGTTGCGTTGTGTCCATGGTAGTAACAGATAGTAGATAATAAGAACCTTACAATCAAATGCAAAACAGTACAAACACCATCAACTACATCTTGTAAAATGAGCTGGAGCTGAGTCCAGTTGTCTCTGAAGCATTCAGAACATCTTAAAGCTTCAGAGAAAAAAAATTCTTGCAGGATACAGATGGCAGAATTTACAGAGCTTTCTGTTAATGTGGTGTTGTTCTCAGGTTGGATGTGGACTTCGACATCCTCTCTGACGTTCAGCTGACATAAAAAAGGGTAGCGACATGGGCTGCTCCACGCACCTTGAGCACACAGTTGCTGTTGACCAGGAGGTTGCCAGGCTTGATGTCTCGGTGTAGAATGCCAGCAGAATGAAGGTATTTAAGTCCTGGTGTTGGAGATAGTGTAGGAGGAAGACACAACAGGACAGAATATTACATCATATATCTTTCTGAAACCCTAACTAATACAGTGCTTAGCAGCACTCATGCGAGTGAGTTTGCTGACAATTAACAGCACCTCCACAGGAGTTGAAGCTGGTGTCTGCACATATGTAATATATAACTGTTAATCAATGTGTATGAAACATTGTTGGTATACAAACATATCCTGTTTTCTCAAACAAATTCATCAGTGCTACAGTTGTATCATTCTGCCACAGTCTGAGCCCGACATCTATTAACACTGTCCATTGGGTTGGCTTGGACAGGATTCCCAAGGGCCACCAGGATTGCTGAATGGGAAAGATATTCAACTGTGTTGGACAGGAGTTTGTAAAAATTTATAAGTGTTATTGTACTTCTGTATGCTGAGGCCCTTTCAGCATTGCATCATGATGTATGTACAAATTTAAAAATCTGTTATTTACACCATAAATCCTAAAGTAAAGCCAGAATTCAAATAATTGCTAACTCTAATACTAATGGCCAACACAAACAAATAAAGGTCCAACACTAATGGAGGTCAAGTAGAACTTGACTACTAGCAGCAGGCCAGTTGCAGGTCCACCTGGCTTTTAAAGGGAATGAGAGATGACACGCTGATTGGGCGAATTCATGTAACACACAAAACACACCTATTATTAATAAATGAACTAAATACAACCCTTACTTTGGGCCAAGATTATGCATCATTTAACTAGCAACTAGATCATTTCAACAATGGTTTAAATTAAAGTTGTACAAGGCTTCAGAGGACCTCAGCCCTCTGAAAGCATTCAAAAAAAAAATTCATTCATTCATTCGTTTTCCATAACCGCTTATCACATTAGGGGTCGCAGGGGTGAAGCCAATCGCAGCTGATACTGGGCGAGATGAGGGGTACACCCTGGACAGGTTGCCAGACTATCGCAGGGCTGACACATAGAGACAGAAAACAATTCACGCTCATATTCACACCTATGGCCAATTTAGAGTCACCAATTAACCTAACCTGCATGTCTTTGGATAGTGGAAGGAAGCTGGAGAACCCGGGAGAAAACCCATGCTGACACAGGGAGAACATGCAAACTCTGCACAGAAGGGCTTCCCCCCACCCTGGGTTCGAACCAGGAACCCTCTTGCTGTGAGGCGACAGAGCTACTACCACTGCGCTGCCATTGAAAAATACAAACACTAATCTAACTTAGCTTACACCCTTTACATCCACTAAATACATGTCTGCACATTTCATCCCCAACATCTTATGGATATCTAAAAAATTGAGCTTGAATTAATTCAACAATAGAAAGAGATTGATATGAAAAAGCAATATAAGAGAACCTACCTCGTAGAATCTGATAAAGAAAAACTTTGGCGTGGTCTGAGCTCAGAGGCTGCGGTGATACGATGATCTTATGGAGGTCACTTTGCATCAGTTCAGTCACCACATAGCTGACCAATGGGAAATGAAGGAAACAAAAATGCATCCAAGAGCACAAACAGCAAATCTTACAGAGAACCAGTGAACGACATCTATTGCACGTCTGTCCGTCCTGGAAGAGGGATCCCTCCTCAGTTGCTCTTCCTGAGGTTTCTACCGTTTTTTTCCCCCCGTTAAAGGGTTTTTTTGGGGGGAGTTTTTCCTTATCCGCTGCGAGGGTCCTAAGGACAGAGGGATGTCATATGCTGTAAAGCCCTGTGAGGCAAATTGTGATTTGTGATATTGGGCTTTATAAATAAAATTGATTGATTGATGGACTTCTCCTCTAATCATCACGCTGTAACCTGTGACAGGCTGTAATGCTACCAGAACAATTGCACAGTCACTAGGGGTGTGCCATAACATCTTGTTCATGATAATACCAGTATATTTTTTAATATCATATGAAAAATTCATATACGGGAACCCCAATAGGACAGATCTACTGGCATCGACCCATGTGAATGGAAAAACAATGACGAAGGCAAGCTGCATCTGCAGAAAAGTCTGCAAGAACCCACGCGGCCTAAAAATACACTAGGCCAGGATGAAATGCATGGAGAGGGAGGATATACTGCAGCGCACAGGATTTGATTCTGGTGAGACACAGGAGGAGTCCAACCAGGAAGCACCCCACAGAGCCCAGTCCCTCTGAGCAGTAAACCCTTCTAATCCTTGTAGAAGAGTCCCAAATATGTTGATAAAGTGGCCTTCAGCAAGCAACAAGACCCCATGGTCACAGTTTGATGCTGAGGTGAGCAAGAGCCTGGAAACCACATGCAAGGGGGAAGTGGATCGCCAGCTCGAGACCACGACAGCTATCATAGTCAGCTACGCAACCGAGAAGTTTGGGCGTGTCAAGGATGGAAATATCAAGTCCTCCTACAAGATGAACGTAGAGCCACCAAGATATACCAGCTGCGTCAAGAGCTTCAAAGCCTGAAACAACAACATATGAGGGCAAGCGAACAGAAGAAGCAACCACTCTCCGAGCTTCGAAACGTCAAGCTCATGCCCCTTTGTAGGTCAGAATGGCAAGGGAGGAGGAGAAGTAAGGAAAGAGCTAGAAAGTGCGCTACTTTCATCTCCAACCCTTTCGCCTTAACTAAGAGGCTACTAGGGGACAAGCGAAGTGGCAGCCTAGTGTATCCAACAGAGGAAGTGACCCTGAGAGAGACCAGGAACTGGAGCCTCATTCAGCCCTCATAAGTCCACAACCTCCAACAGTGGGTTTTGATATGAGGGAGCCTAGCTGGAAGGAGATCCAGAAGGTGGTGAAAGGAGCCAGGTCAGCCTCTGCCCCTGGCCCCAATGGAGTTCCATACACCGTGTACAAAAACTTTGCCAGCGCTTATAGAAAATCCTCAGGGTGATCTGAGGAAGAGAGAGGAAGAGTTGCAGATCAGTGGAGGGTTGTTGAAGGTGTATGGATCCCCATGGTAGAAAACTCTAAGAACGTCAGTCAGTTTAGAACCATCTCACTGCTGAGCGTTAAATGCAAGATATTTTTCAGTATCTTGTCACGAGGACTGAGGTAGTTTCTTCTAAAGAACAGCAATATTGACACCTCTGTTCAGAAGGCTGGAATCCTTGCCTCAGTGACTCAGTGGCGCTGGTCATGGCGACACGCAGCAGCAGTGTGTGAGATGAGCGTTGGTGTGGCTGTTTTAAGTGGCTGTATTAAATGTTCTTACTAACTTTTTTAACTAACTCTTTTTAACCACTTGTGGAGGATAATGGCAGCAAGAACTCACTCTAGTTTGGGGGGTATTCTTTTCCTTCTGACGTTTTTATGTCACATTTTACTTGGTGCTTGTGAGCATGGGAAACCTCTCCAGTACAGCCGTGACTTCTTACTTCTGCTCCGTGACTCCAGGAAGGGCATCGTGGATTCCTCGACAGCTTTACCCACGGAGATTATCCAGCTGAATCTTTCTACTGGGAACCGGAGCTGGTCATCCGGGCTGAAACGCACCAGGAAACGGGGGAGACGCGGCGGTCTGTGACAGAGGCTTAAGCGGCAGGGACACCGTCGGATACCGCTGCCCACTGTCATCCTGGCTAACGCTCAGTCGCTCCGGAACAAAGTGGAGGAGCTTCACACCTGTGTCCTGGCCCTCACGGAGACCTGGCTTAAGGAGCATGATCCATCCTCGGATCTGGAGATCGATGGATTTGGAGTTCCATACCGCCTTGACAGAGACCCCGCAGTGACCGGCAAGTCACTCGGCGGGGGTGTGTGTCTCTGTGTTAATAAAAACTGGTGTACTACGGTGGTTGTCAGGGAGACATTATGCACCAAAGACATTGTATCACTGCGACCCCATTATTTACCCAGAGAATTCCCACAGTTATTCATCACTCTTGTTTATATTCACCCAAAGGCTAACGCCGATGTAGCCACTAGGGCTATGCTAAAAACAGTGCAGCGGCTGCAGGGGATAGCACCGGATGCACCGCAGTTCATATTGGGCGATTTTAATCACTGTAAACCATCAAAGTCCTTGTGTAACTTTTACCAATATGTGACATGTCCCACTCGACATGGAAAGTGTCTGGACCTTTGTTTTGGTTCCATAAAGGGAGCGTACAAATCTTTCAGAAGAGCTCCGCTGGGTATGTCAGACCACAGTGCGGTGTACTTAGTTCCGTCTTACAAATCTGTCCTGAAGAGAAACAAGCCGGAGAGACGTTTGGTTTACTGTCTCCAAGTTTGCTTTCATGATACGGACTGGGATCTGTTTATAAATGTCTGTGAGGATCTGGATGAACTCACTGATGTTGTCTCCTTATATGTTTCCTTTTGTGAGAGCTCTAATTTCCCTTATCCTAACAATAAGCCGTGGATGACAAAAGGTGTCAAAAAAATAATTAATCAGAGGAATATTTGCTTCTTGCAGGGTGACACCACACAATATAGAGAGCTTCAAAAGCAGCTCAAAAAGGAGCTCAATGTTGCCAGGCGCAAGTATAAAGACAAAGTTGAGAGCATGTTAAGTACAGGCAGCTCACGCCCTGCTTAGGAAGGCGTAAAATCTATGATGGGGATGCAACACAAGAAGTGTAACATATCCCTTATTATACAACAGTTAGTTCCGGCCCTGCAATCTGATTGGTCGAGAGACAGTAAAACCGTGATGATATTGGAGTACAACATCACGGTTATTTCACTCTGTATGTATCACTCCGCCTCACAGCTGATTGCAATCAACAATCAAATCAAAACTGACGGTTAGTGTCAGTTAGGTCAGCAGTTGGGTTGTAGGCTAATTAATTCATCCACTGTCAAACAGCCAAAAATATGGATTTATTTCCTAAAATAAGTTTTGAATTGAACTATGAATGGTCATCAGAGGAAGATGAGAGAGAGGAGAAGCTGAATCCATCTGAGCACACATCCAGGTTTGTCAGTGTTTCATCAGCGGAGCTCAATGACTTGGAGAAAAGCAACATACTGTCAGATCAGAAGGCAGAGTCGGCTGTGCCTGTGAAGCGACAGTCCACCATGCAGTCACCAGAGACTTATTTCACCGGCTGCACAATTAATGGATGCAGATAAATGTGTATAAAGAGTAAGTGCCTGGCGCATCATGTCTGCGTTACATAGCAACGGTGACAGCGGAGTCCTGAGAGAACTATTTTTGTTGGCGGAAGACAAATAAAATGCTTAAATTATCTATTTTGTCCTCATTTTTCAACATTTCTTAATCAGCCTTGCTTATTTAACTGTTGTATAAAAGCAATATCACACTCGAGCTCGTGATGTTGTACTGTGATATTGTCACGGCTGTGATTCGGTCGTAGGCACGAGGCCACAGGCCGATATCACAGTACAACATCACTCCCTCTCGTGTGATATTGCTTAAATGTCAGTTTTTAAAAACACTGTCTCCTCACAGAACAGTGTTGTTGACAGGAACATAGTTTGTAGACTTTTTCAGCGTGTCAAGGAGAGGAAAAGTCCAGGCCCGGGTGGCATTGGAGGTCGGGTCCTCAAGAACTGTGCTGTCCAGCTGGCAGATATTTTTAGTTTTATTTTTTCAGCATTCCTCCAGCTTCACAAGGTCCCTTCACTCTGGAAGAATTCTATTATAGTTCCAGTACCCAAATCTGCATCTCCAAAATCACTAAATGACTTCAGACCTGTTGCACTGACCTCCCTTGTTATGAAGTCATTTGAAAAAATTGTGAAGGAATCACTTCTGACCTGTGTCCAAAATAACTTGGACCCACTGCAGTTTGTCTACAGGTCAAGCAGAGGTGTTGAAGATGCAGTTGGCACCCTGTTGAACTTTGTTCTAACTCATCTTGAGGGAGCCAAGTCTTTCGCTCGTCTTTTATTTATTGATTTCTCGTCCGCTTTTGATTGCATTCAGCCACACATTTTAGCAGAGAGACTAAGGGACTCCCATAACATTGATCCTGGTCTTATAGCCTGGGTTATTGACTTTTTAACAGTGAGACCACAACGTGTTAGGGTTAATGGTGTTCTGTCAGACACTCTTGTCTCTTCCACTGGATCAGCAGCTAGTTGTAAAGATGGCTTGGTCTTCCTCATAGCCTGTGCAGCTCCGCTCTGTACGGCACAAGCAACACCCTGCAACTTCCAATCAGTGGCCTCACGGAAGAGTTCATGGTGTCAAGGACATATGAAGTTCTGCAGTACAGGGAATCCAGGGATCCAAAGATGGCATCAGCTGGCATCCGGGTGTGTACAGGCAGGAAGTGGAGCACAGAAAAATCTCTCGAGGTGGCAGAGTCAAGAATCCACCAGCGCAGAGGGCGCAACCAGGGTTAACAACGCTCAAGGCAAAGAACAGCAACACCTTGCTGAGGAGGAAGTTTGGGCACCCATGGGGGAAGTACGAGCCAGCAGGAATCTGGGAATGGGACATCAAGGAGCTTGGACTTAAAGGGATAGTTCAACATTTTGGCAAATTCGCCTATTGCCGTAATCCCTATAGTCATATGG